AGGCCCCTGTGCCCCGTGGGAGGGAGCCGCGCTGCCCCCCGCGGGGACCCTGCCCCTGCCCCTGCCCGTAATCCTGGCCCTGCCCCCTCTCTAACCCTGCTCCTACCTCAGTCCTGCCCCTGCCCCATACCTAACTTTGACCCTACCCCTGCCCCATATCCTGTCCCTACTCTAGCCCTGCCCCTAATTCTGCTCCTGCCCCATCCCTAACCCTACCCCTGACCCTACCCCTAACCCTGCCCCTATCCCTACCCCTACCCCTGACCCTACCCCTAACCAACCAACCCTAACTTGGGGTCCCCAGTTGTCTTTCCTGCTTAGCACAAGGCGGGCTGGACCCCATGATCTTGCGAGGTCCCTTCCAGCCCCCTACTATCGATGACCCCTATAGACAACATCCACTGTCTATAGGGTTTCCCTGCCCCCATAGGGACCCTGCTGCCTATACAGTGCCCCGGCTTCCCCTGTAGGGACCTTATTGCGTATAGGGTGTTCATGCTCCCTTATAGGGTGCCCCTGTGCCCCCATAGGAACTTCACTGCCTATAGGGTGCCCCTGCCTCCCATGGGGACCCTAACCTAACCCAACCCTAATCAACCAACCCTAACCCTATAGACAACACCCAGTGCCTATAGGGTGCCTCTGCCCCCCTTGGGGACTTTAACCCTAAAGACAGCATCCCCTGTCTGTAGGGTGCCAGCTGCTCCCCCATAGGGACGTCACTCCTTATAATGTGCCTCTTCTTCTATAGGGACCTTTCTGCTTATAGGATGCTCCTGCTTCTCCTGGAGGGACCTTGCTGTCTATAGGGTGCTCCTGCCCTCCCATAGGACCCTGCTGCCTGTGGTTGCCCCTGCCTCCCAGTGCAGTCAGGGTTGGACTGGGCTGCCCATAGCGGAGCCTGGTAATATGGGGGGGTCAATCAGCTGCAAGAGCCCAGCTGGGGATGGGTCCAGTGGTAGGGCTGGGACACCCAGGCAGGGCTGGGACGTGGTGCCTACCAGGACAGCAGGATTGTGCACGTGTGTGCATGCAAAAACCACGTCAGAGGTCCTGTGCTGTGATGGAGCAAAGTGGGATTCCCCCCCCAGCCCCTTCAGTGGGGGCCTGTGAGCTCTGTGTGCTCCCCCCGACGACATCCAGCACGCGTTCGTGTGACCGCCCCAGATCCACGCTGGGGCAGAGGTGCCGTGGAAGCCCAGTTAACCTGCCTGCTCCCCCCTTCCCAGGCGTCTACGTGTGCTCCAAGTGTGGCTACGAGCTCTTCTCCAGCCAGGCCAAGTACGAGCACTCGTCGCCGTGGCCGGCGTTCACCCAGACGGTCCACGCCGACAGTGTGTCCAAGTACGAGGAGCGCCCGGGCGCCCTGAAGGTGGGCATGAAGGCTCGCCGGGC